GTGACTTGCCCAATGTTAACAGCTAGTAAGAGACTGAACTATTATTCCAACCCACGTCCTCTGACCCTGCCCAGTCCTGGGCTTTCCTGCTGCCCCTGGCCCTTGCTCTATGTACACAGCTGGGCAAGACTCTTCCCTGCTCTGGGCTTGAGTTTCCTCAGTTGCTCAGTGGGTGGGTTGAAAGGTCTGATCTCTGAGCTCCCTTTCTAGCCCTGACCTCATGTGCTTCTGGAGCCTGGGGCTTCTTAGCCTTCCTGCGCATCATTATTCAAGCCCAGCCTGGAGGGTCAAGCTGAGGATTCCTGGGGGATTCCCAACCACCATCCCTGGTGCTGTCCTAGTGACAATGTCTTTCCTTTGGAGTCCTTCAGTGCTGGGGTTTCTGCCTATCTGCAGAGCAGTCTTTCTGCCTGTAGCTGTCAGTTTTTGCTGCAGATCTGCTTGTCCTTAATGGTCAGTCCAATTTTGGCAATGTGTGGTCTGCTCTGAGACCGAGTCTGTCTGTGCGGGGCATTTGGTCTGGTGTGGGCAGTAATTGGGTTCTTGGCAGTGTCTCTGGCCCAGAGCATCTGTTTGCCTTCCTGGTGCTCATCTCCATGAGCTGTCTCTCATTTGCTGACAGGCTGACTCTTGTCCTTGCTCCACATCTCTGCTCTCTTGTGTGGCCGTCCACCCCCAGATCACAATGGCTGACCTTCCCCTGTGTTTCCTGGAGTGCCTGTGGTTGGGCTCAGAGCGGAAGGTGGCCCTCTGCAGCACAGCTCTCTGACCCCTCAGTCCCTTCCCATGAGTCCCCATTGCCTGGCAGAAGGGCAGATTGGACCTTCTTTCCCCAGATGATCCTCCCTGTGCCCAGCCTCAGTTTCCCCTTAGTCCCAATCCCATTCCAGACCAATCATTTCCTCCATTCCCCAAAGATGGTCAGGGCTCCCAAAGGATAGCAGGAGACTGAGCCAGGCTGAGAGGTGATGGTCACAGCCATGGGCCAGCCAAGTCCCCGTAGCAAGGAGATGAATGGAAGGCTTTGTCAGAGCCTTGGGAAAAAAGGAGGGGAGAGGAGATAGGAAGGGCAGTGGTTGGAGATCCCAGTAAACCACAAACCTCTGGTTGGAGCTGGGATGTTTGACCTCAGTCAGTACCCAGAATAAAGCCCCAAAAAATCTCTAGCAAATTTCCCAGAGCCCTTATTAGCACAGAAAGAGAGGTGAAAAGAAGGGCGACTCACCAAGAACCGTCAGCTGGGTCCCTCCGCCAAACATAGCCCACGGTGACACAGACCTGTGTATAAACCCCCAGTGACGTGGCCCCAGGCACCATGGCCCAGGAACTCTCAGGTCTCCTCAGGGGAAAACTGCCCTCCCATGTTCCCCTCTCTTCAGAGAGCAGGGGCAGATGCTCCTCCATGCTCGCCTGACCTCCCTCCCCCTCACCCCCATCACCCCCCCCCCGGGAAGAGGGCTGGGAAACTGAGAATTCAGAGGAAGCCTATGTCCAGGGAGCTGGCTCTGCCCTGGAAGGCTGTGACCAGCCTCTGAATCCAGATTGGAAATATTCATTGAGGCACCTTGGGATTGATGATGGGCCCCCAGCCCAGCTCTCAGGACCATTCAAAGTTGGAGCTGATCTTCTCAGGGTTTCCCCACTACCTTTTCCTTCCATGATCTTATCTGATCCTCACAATGCCAGAGGGACATTGAGATGAAGAGCTTTTTCACTCCCTCCCCTCTTGCAGATGAAGCACCTAAGCCTAAGACAAGTTAGGAGACAGGTCTAAGGTCACACAGCTAGTTAATGGGAGAGGTGGGATCTGAGCCCAAGCTGGAGAAGGTAGGGAGAAGAAGGAGAAAGCAGCATTCTGGTCCCTGGGGGGCGATGGTCTATTTAGGCAAGGTGAGACAAGACCTACACAGCAGGATAGTTTCTCAAGCCCTCTGGGAGGAGACGGTTGAGGAGATATTCTGAATGTATGAGATTTAGTGAGCAAATCCCAAGAGGGAGGCAGAGATGGGAAATAAGTGACCTCTGGGATGGTCTGGGTGCTATGGTAGTTACTGAAGGCTCCTTGGAAGAGTCAGGACTGATTAGAGATTGAGAATGGATAAGATGCTGCTGGAAGGAGAGGAGAGAAGGGACCAAGCCAGAGCCAAGGTGGGAGGAGCATCCAGATTGTAGGAGGGACAGGGAAGTGCTGGAGACTGAGGACAGTGGAGGAGGCAGGAGCCTGAGTGGGACTGGGGAAGCCAGGCTTTCCCACCTGGTCCTGGAAGCAATGGAGAATTATGGAGTGTGGTTGAGTAGAGGATGGAGAGGTAGCTGATTTGGTAGAATGGGCACAAGATCTCAGTCTGAATCCCTGCCCTGTCACTAACCATCTGTTGAGTGCTTACTATGTGGTAGGCATTGTGCTAAGCACTCAGCAAATGCTTGGCAGGATGGAGCTCATCTTAACTGTCTGCAAAGCCCTTCCCTCCCAACAGCCCTGGCAGGTAGGGCACCTGAGGATTCTAGTGCCTGCTGTGCAGACAAGGGCAAGAGAAAAGCAAAGATAGTGGGGACTTAAGAGAAGCAGAAGACATAAAGGAGAGCTGGCAGACACAAAAGATACAGAAGAAGAAAGCAAAAAAAGCTCTTAACATCACTGATAACCATGATGGTGTGTTCACTGCCTGGAGCTAGACATCCTGGAGCAGTCAGTGAAGTGGGCCTTGGGAAGCACTGCTCACCATCAGGCCAGTGAAGGTCATGGAATCCCAGCTGAGCTATTAAAAATCCTAAATGATGAGACTGTTAAAGTGCTGCACTCACTAAGCCAACACATCTGGAAAACTCTACCCTGTAGACTGGGTTGGAAAGTTGCATTTATGTCTTACTGGTAATGAAAGGCAATGTCAAAGAATGTTCACATTACTGAATGATTGGGCTCATTTCACGGGCCAGCAAGGTCATGCTCTAGATTCTGCCAAGCTGGACTTCAGCAATATGTCAACTGAGAATTACCAGAAGAGCAGGCTAGTTTTTGAAGAGTGGGAGAAGTAGAGGCTGAAGTGCCAAAATTTGTTGGATTGTGGAGAAAGTAAGAGCATTGGAGAAAAACATTTATATATAAAAACTGGACCATAAGGAAAGCTGAGTGCTGCAGAATTGTAGTTGTGAATGACAGTGTTGCAGAATATTTTGAGAGTCAATTGGATAGAAAGCAGGTAAAATTAGTCAATACTGATAAGAAATGGATTCGGTCTATCCTTTGGAAGGTGAATTACTGAAACTGAAGCTCAAGTAATTTGGGCAGATAATGAGAAGACAGGATTCATTGGAAAAGACCCCGATATTGGGTAAGATCAAAGGCAAAGGAGAAGGGGATGACAGAAGATGAGATGGATAGATGGTGTTATGGAAGCTTGGACAGACTTGGGGAGAAAGTGGAAGACAGAAGGCTCTGGCAGGTTATGGCCCATGGGATCATGAAGATTTGGACACAACTGACCAATAGCATAGAAGGTGAAATTTAATCTCAGGGAGGGCTCCCAGATCTCTCTGGCCCTCATTCCTTCTCTGAGCTCTAGACTTGCAGATTCTCAGTTCTGAAGAGCCCTCAGAGGCTTCTCATCCAGAGGATTCTTGGTGGAGAATTCTCACCACTGCCTTCCTGCCTGATGAAGGGTGCACTGAGCTTTGCAGGCTGATCTCCAAGGAAGGTTGTGCCACCATGGAGAGCTCCAGATGTTCACTAATTTCCCTCACAATGAGCCTCCATCTGTTTCTTGCTCTGCTGCTTCTAATGCTGGGCTCTGGAGCCCGGCAGAACCAGCTTATTCCTTCATACTCTGATAGCCATTTAGATACTTGAAGAGAGTTCTAGTGTCCTTTACCCTGACCCTAGGTTTGTCCTCTTTACCCAGCAGGGCCAAGTTTCTTTAAGATTCGGTAAGGCCCATCTTCCATTCCTTCACCATCCAGGTCCCTGTTCCTTTGAAACTCTTTTTCTTTTTAAATCAGTCTCTATTTTGCCAATATCCTTCCCAAATTATGGTATCTAGAAGTGGACCTCAGGGACTTGAGATGGCATGTGAACCGAACAGATGACAGTGGGCTTCGTAATGATAATGATAATGATAATGGTAGTGATAACAGCTAAGATTTCTAGACTGCCTACTATGTGCCAGGCTCTGTGCTAAGCACTTTAGAAGCATTATCTCGTTAAATCCTCACAACAGTTGTGGAAGGCAGGGGCTATGATTTTACCTATTCGGTATTTCAGCAAAATGTGGCTGAGTGGTTAAGTGACTTAGCCAGGGTCAAACAGCTAGTAAGTGTCTGAGGCTGGAAGCCTTCCTGACTGCAGGTCCAGCCGTAGAGCTAGAAGGGACCTGAGAAGGTACCTCGTCTAAATTGCTTCATTACAGATGCGGGCACTGCTTCCAGGGGAGGCTGTGACTTGGCTAAAGTCTCCAGGTGGTAAGGACAAGGGCTCAATGTGAACCCACATCCTCTTCCTATGGAGCCAGTGTTCCCTGCCCTGTGGCCGTCTGATGTGTCAGGAGGAGGGTGTTCTGGTTTGTCCTCTAGGGCTCTGGAGTTCTCAGGATGGGAGGGGTTTGTCCATCCCAGTGGGTGAAGCTGAAGTGGAGTGGTCCTGGGCTGCACTCTGATCCCTCTGTCCTGTTCCCTAGATGTAGGGCTACTCCTTGGACCGTCCTTCCTCATCCCTTGTTTCCCTTCCCACCTTGGGTGACGGGCATGATGGGACCCACTGCAGACCTTGGACTCTCGGGTGATTGACTTTCATGTTCCATCCATCCAGGGGCTTGGCCTGTACTGCCTTTTTGTCATGGGGGCTATCGGGGGCCAAATCTTGTGAGCCACATTCAAAGAGAGGGGAGATCAGACACAGAAGACTGGAGCCGCAACTGAATGTGAAAGGACAAGATGTTTATTGAAAGCGAGGAGAGGGGAGGATGAGCTGGGGAAGCCCCTGTGTGGGGAGAGAGGGAGGGGTGCAGGAGAGATGTGGGCCTCTAAGTGCACCGGCTCCGGGAGAGCTCCTTCTGGATGACCTTGCCATCGTGGGTAACCTTGCAGGTGAAGGTGTCGGCTGACAGCCACTGGTCAGCAGAGAGTGAGAGGTAACTGCTGGCTGAGTACTTGCTGTCACTCTGGCGGGACGGCTGGGAGGTCTCCACACCCTGGGACACGGGGGAGCCATCCTTGGTCCATGCCACCTCCACTGTTCTTGGGTAGAAGCCACTCAGCAGACACACGAGGGTGGCCTTCTTGGTGGCTAGCTCTTCTTGGGATGGAGCAAAGGCATTAACGGTGGGGGCTACTGCGGGTTGACCTGGCAGTGTGGCAGAGAGGGGAAGAAGTCAGTCTTACACAGAGTGGAGGCACATTAACATTCCTACTTACAACCCCGTTCAATGCTCCTGTTCCTGCTGATAGTTTTTTCCATTTCTAATCGTTCCTGACCCCATGGAACCTGGGACTTCTGAGGTGTGCACCCTCTTCTCTCGCGTCTACACCCTCCCTCTCTTCTTCTCTTTACCCTGATTGCTTTCCAATGCTCTGTTGTCTGATGTTGGGGAGACTCTCTGGAGGAGACAATGAATCAAATAAAAGTTTTGGGGAGCACAGATGACACCATGATTCCAAGATCCCTCCCTTCCTCACGTACAGGTCTTTCTGACATGCTAAGATTCTTTTTTTACTCTCTCTGAGTCTTACCCTGGCCAGCCAGGGCTCCCGCTCTCCAGGCTCCCCTGGCTACCCCCTGGACAGCCAGGATGCTTCATTTCGACCATTCCTCACACTTCATGAGGCTACTCTAGAAACCAGGCAACTCTTCTGCCTGACCATATTCTACCCTTTCCACTGCCTTTCCGTTATGTCTGAGCTCAAGAGAGCCTCAGTACATCTCTCCAAAGCATATTTCCCCACTCTCAGTTCCTGTACTTTTCTGGTAGTGTCTGTGGAGTCTGGTATGACTAGGGCCAGAGATGTAGAGCTACAAAGGGCCTGTAAGATCATTGAGTTGGACCACTTTATTTTATAGATGAGGGAACTACTGTCTGGAGAGATTAATTAACCTGCCCATATTCACTGAACCAAAGTATCAAAGGCAGATGCACAAATGGAGAGACATCGCCACTCCATGTTGTTCGTATGGCGTATTTGTGCCAACCTGTGGTCGAGCCTTCCTAGTTCTTATTGGTCTGAGCAGACACGGTCAGACACACTGTACCTTGACCCCGACATAGTGATGCCACTTGTGTCCTCCTTCCAACCCCAATGAACCACAGGCAGAATTCCTAACTCAGTCTTCCTCATTCCAAGTCCAGAGCTGTAGTAACTCCCCTCCATTGCCTCTTTCTGCCTCTACCCCCTGTCGTTTTTGTCAAGCCTGACTTGGTCTCCATTGTCTGTCCCATCACCCTCTCCCATTCCCTTAGGAGGCCAAGACCAGAGGTCCCAGAGAGCTGCTGGTGAGGGAGCCAATGCTTTTTGCTTCTGCTGCCCGTGGTCTGTCACTGCTCCTGCCCAAATCCCCCAGGTAGTCCTCACTTGGGCTTCCCACCCAGGCTGCCCAGCAGTCCAGGCTCCACCATCCACCCCTTGTGTGTCCTCTGGTTCCTCACTGGCACCCTGAAGTCCCCACATCTGAGGGAGCCCCAGTTCTCCTCATGGATTCCTAGTGTAAAGGGACTGAGTTTAGAGAGGGGAAGGAATGCTATTTGTCTGATTCCTCTGCTGGGTTCTGTCCTGCCTTACCCCCCAATCTTCTCCCTTGTCTCCAATGTGGGGACAATGGTTTTCTTAGAGTGTGTCCTGGGGATTAAGTCCCTTCCTTGCTGGGTCATCGTCCCCTCCATGGGCTGCTGTAGGTGGGACCACATTGGTCCCCACCTCCAGCCTCCTGACCCTAGGGAGACCCTCAGTTAAGTGGGTGATACCCAGTGAGAAAGAGTGTTATTTCCCATCAAGACCCTGGATAGAAAGGAGGGACAGGGAGAACAAAGGCTACTTACCGATGACGGTCAGTTGGGTCCCACCGCCAAAAACAAACCACTGTGATTGAGAGTCGTACCAAAACTCTTTCTGCCTGCAGGTGCCCTTTGGCCCCTAAGGTCTGCTTGTTCTGGAAACCTGTCAGGCATGACAGGAGGGCATGGCTGAGAGCTGTTGGTGAAGGGGTTGCAGGTGGGGTCCATCCCTGGAGGTAGGGGTAACTCCCAGTCACCTCTCCTGCCTCCAAGGCTGGGCTCCCCCAGGGCTGTGCTCAGGCTCATTGGAGAAAGTTTCTATTTGATGAGATCCTTCTTTTGAAGCTTTTCCTCCCCCCTCCAAGCAGGCTGATCTCATAGGTAACCCTCAAAAGCCTTCTGCTCAAGACATTTCTCTCACTCAGTGTATCTTCCTTATCTTTTCCCTGTTGATCCTTGTTGCACTGGTCCTTCAAGACCCAGATCAAATTCCTGAAGCCTTCCCAGGCCTGCTTAGCTCCCTTCTCTGGGAGGTGGCAAAGTGTTCTCTTTCAGATTTCTGGTTGTTAGGCGGCTAGCTAATCCTCTGTGGTGAAGATAATGCAGAGAGCCTCCCAACCAACTGGTCCCCTGTCTCCTTCCTTGACCTTTTCACAGCTGCTCTCATAGTCTTCAGAGATTCCCTGGAGTCCTGAAATCTCAGTCAGGGCTGACTGAGAGATTCCTCAAAGACCATCCAGCCCACCCCATTCCTGAATGAGAAGCACTTCTCCCAGCATTATCCCCAGCCAATGGTCCTCCAGTCTATGCTTGGAGACTGCCCAGTGAGGGGGAGCTCACTACCTCTCAAGGCAGCCCATTCAGCTTTAGGACAGTTCTCATGATTAGGAGCTGGCATCTTCCCCTTTGCAGCTTGGGTGATTCTGGTTCTGCTCTCTGGTACCAAGGAGAAAAAGACCAATCCCTCTCTCCCATGATGGTCCTTCAGATGTTTGATCCCAGCTCTGTGCCCCCTGAGAGTCTTTTTTTCTAGGCTAAGTATCCCCAGGTCCTCCAGGTGGTTCTCCAATGACATGGATTGGGGTCCTTCTCCTGGCTGGCTGCCCTGCTCTGGACGGTGTCCAGCTTAGCGATGTCCTTGTTGCACTGTAGTGCCCAGAATTGCACAGGGTCCTTCCTCTGGAGTCTGATGGGTTGAGAGAGTAGAATGTCTTCGTTCCTGCAAGCCCAAGATTGCATGAGCTTTCTTGGCTCTCACATCACACTGCTCACTGGTATCAAGCTTGGTTTCCTGCAACTCAGACTTCCCCCCCACTGAAATGCTGTCTTCTACCTGTTAACCTGCCCCTACCCCTCAAGGGTAAGGTTTTGTACTTTTGTCTACAAAATTCTTTCTCTTGGCCTTGGTTCAATGTTGCAGAGTTCTGACATCATTTGGGATCCTAGGTGTAGCATCTAGTGGTTTCCTTTCCTCCCAGTGTTGTGCCTTGCTGAATCTCTTTGAGTGTCCCATGTTCATCGTTAGCCAAAGCAGGGACCCGTGAGGCACTGGACTGACATCTACTTTCCAAGTTGACATCAAACTGTTCTTAGGTATTCTAGGTATCTGGTCATCACCCAGTCTGAAATCCCCTCACTTCCATTGCTCTCTAGCCCAAATCCCTTCATCTTGGCCATAAGAATAGAGGGAGAGACTTTGTGAAATGTTTTCTAAGATGAATCAATCAGTGAACAAGCATGTATTATACATACTATGTGCCTGGCTCTTTGCTAAGCACTGGGGATGCAAAGAAAGAGGGAAATCAGTGCCTGTGCTGAAGGAGCTCCCATTCGAAGGTTGATGATGTCAAAATATTTTGGAGACACTCTGTTTCCCAGAGTTACAGCCCAGCAAGCAGGCTGTGCCCTGAGCTTGGCCTTACAATGATCCTTTGCAGCTCTGGATGATCTCACCTCCAGCTAATTGTATCACTGTTACTAGCACCAGGGGTTCACTGAAGGATTTCTGATTTTAGCTCCCCCCTATTTCCTGGGGACCTGAGAATCAACACCTATCATACCTTTCTCTGATCTGTTCATAATCCGTGTTCCCTGCAGTTCTCTTCCTGTCAAAGAACTCTGATCCTGTACCCCGCAGAGTCATCATGACCCCCAAGGCTTGAGACAATCCACATGGAAGCTGTTCCTTCAGGACCAGGAACGGCAGGCCTGCACTTGCCATAAGAGCAGCCACTCAGGACCATGATTATGTCATGGTCCAGTGCTGTATGTATATAAACTCCGCCTTTCCCCCAGATATATAAGCCCTTCTTCTTAGGAGGGGGGGTTTGCTGCCTTCAAGCATCATTTTTCTCCCTCTGAAATTAATGAAATTTATGTTTGTGTCCTGACTCTCCTGTCTCTAGCCAGCTTTGTGCAGCTCTGCCCCGCCCACAGGTTAGAGGCCAGTTCTGGTTATGTTGATGATATATACAAGATACAGAGCTTTGTCAGGGGTGTGGAAGATAGGTTGGGGCATAGAGTGAGACGTGGACCTGTATTCGGATTTGTCCATGCTTCTCCTTGTACTGGGGAACAAGGGAGGACTGGGGCAGGCATGGGCATTCTGCATTGACCTATCATGTGCTTGGGAGCAGCCTTTTCCCATTGCCTGTGGAGCCAGAACTGTTGGTGATGTTAAGCTGTCCTGACTCAGGCATCGTGGGTGCTTTTATCATATTAGCGTTTAAGGGTGAAGGATTCTTTCATTGACACCATGCAGGAGAAGGTCACATTCTGTGTCCCCAGTCCAAGGATGTGTGGTTCCAAGAAAAACACCTGAGTTAGGGAGTGGCATGTTTGATCTGACCCAGCAGCTAAGTTATAGGTATCTGGAATTCCGGGAATCCAGATGGGATTTAGCCAGCTCAGCTTCAGTGCTTGAGAGCTTGGGTTCAGGGAAGCTAGCCTGTGGAAGTCAGGACGATGCTGGTTTGGTACTTTCATGTAGTAGGACTAAAGCCATGTAGGTACTAACTAGACTTTGAACCCAATATCTCATCACCACCTCCCCCCACCAGGGCCTTGAGCAAATGTCTGTGTGTTTGTTTCTAGATATTGCTTCAAAGCAAATATCTCTTTGTAAAAACAAATGTGAAGTGAAATGGAAGTGGGGTGCTAATCACTAGGCCCCTGAAATGGGGGCTGACAGTCAGGGGCAGAGGAAAGTGACCCTGCAGCCTCTTCAGGGCAGAGCAGAATCCTGAGAGGGCCTGGCCCTGAGAGCAGGGTCAGAGTTCCCCATGTTCCCCCCTGCCCTGCCTCTTTAGTCATCCTGCCCCCCAAAGGCAGCGAGTTTCTCTGCCATGGTCTTTGGGCAAGCCACATTGTCTTTTTGTGATACAGCTTCCTTTCCTGGCTGGTTAGTGACCATACCCCTTACAATTGGTTGTGGGATTTCCCCAGGAATCATAGTATTTTTGTCCTTTCTACTGTCCCATGAATTTGTTAATGTTCATAGAAGTAGCAGTTTGTTTTTCTTTCACTTTAATTTTGTACCTAACTCCTTGAGTTTTAATTTCAATTGTGATTAATGAAAATTTTGCTATTGAAGGTAAAAATTCCTGGGTCAGTGATTTGTTCTGAGCTTTGATTTCAGGAATAGTTGTACGAATTGTCACAAAGTCAACAATGGAAAATGGCATGTGTGACAGTCTGAAACAGCAAAGGTGGGTTCTGAGTAGGGGAACATTGTGAGGACAGCTTAGGACACAGCCTAGATTGAATCCTCCTGACTTTATTTCCCCATTGTGTCATTTCCTTTCTGGAAAAGGAAAATTGCCACCTGGTTAATCCTGTGCCTTGCTTTAACACTCTGTAGCTATACGATTGGCTGTCAGATGTGACTCATGCCTGGAATCAAACAGAATTAAGGGAATTTCCCCCCCTGATATATGGTTACTATGTTCCTCTTTTTCCTTTCATAGCAAATTTCTTTAATCAAGAAATGTTTTAGAATCATGTTTCCAATGAATGTTCCTCATTGGCCTTCAAGAGTCGTTGTGACCTTTTTGGCTGAAAGGAGGGAATGAAAAAGAAATTATAATATTCACATTAATCAGTATGATATCTATCTATCTATCTATCTACCTACCTATCTATCTATCTATGTATCTATAGATATATAGATATAGATATAGATATAGATATGGATATAATGAATATAGCAATAATTTCATTTTCTCCAGAGCTGCCTCTCTGGCTAGAGGTTCAGAGCTCATAATGCAGGGTAAACTGATCACTCAAAGCTGTGCCAATGCTCACAATCCGCTTGAACTTCAGTGAAGCGAATCAAAGACTGTACAACCTGTTCCCGTCACAGACCTCTGGTTCTGTACTTTAGGGGAGGTGGTCATGACCCCTAAAGACCCCCAAAAGTGTGTTGTGGGGTCGGGGGTTTCTGATTGTTTGTAATCCATCTTCCTGGTGAGTTTAGTATATAACATGTTTGTAAGTTAAGTATACAAGCCTTGCTTTTACTTCAGCTAAGGGAACATTCCTCACTCTGATACTGATTCTTTTAAGTTCTTGATTAGTGGCATTCCCACCTCTAGGCCAGCCTTGTGGGGCTCTGAGCATTCTCAGGTTAGGAAAAATCCTGTTCCCAAGTCCACAGTCAAGGTCACATCTTCATCTCCTGCATGTTACCAAGTAAGTGGCCATGCTTCCAATCAGCCAGGTCCACAGCCTAGGTCCCATCTTGGCCTCCTGCTCAGTGTCACTCTGCCCACCTGTTCAGCCCCCCTCCAGATCTTGACCTCTGCCTTCACACCTTCCCTCACATAGGCTTGTTTTTTTCCACTCACACTTTCTTGCCCTGGGTCACTCCCTCAGCAGCCCAGGTCCGGCTCATGGCAGTCGCATTCTCATGGGTCTCCTCACCTCCAGTGTTGTCCCGCTGCAATCTGTCCTCCACGCAGCTCAGATTTCTGTACGTCATTAGGGTTTGCAAAGCACTTTCCATTTGCCATATCATTTAATCTTCACAATAGCTCTGGGAGATAGGTGCTATTAGTAAAAATAAAAACAAATTATAATAAAAATAATCTTCATATAACAGTTTAAGTTTTGCAAAGTGCCTTACAGATATTATCTAATTGTTTACTGCCAACAACGCAGGAAGGCAGATGGGATCATTCTCCCCATTTTCAGATAAGGAAAGTGAGGCTGAAGGAGGAATAGTGACCTGCTCACTTCAGGGGGCACAGATAGGAAGCCTCTGAGGCTGGATGTGAGCTCAGGTCGCCCTGACTGCAGGCATAGCGCTCCATCCACTGACCTCCTATGTTCCCATCCTGCTCCTCTTCCTCCATCCCAGAGAGCCATCCCTTTGACCAAAACCAGTTTCAGATACCCCTCATGTTTCAGAAGGGAGAGACAGGCTCTGGCAAGAAAGCAAATTGTGGGCTGGAAGTGATCTTTCATCTCCCATCCAGCCAGGGGCTTAGCCTGTGGTGCCTTTTTGGCATGAAGGTTGTCAGGGACCCAATAGTGTGAGTTGCCCTCAAGGGAGGGGAGATCAGTCACAGAAGTCTGGAGAGGAAATTGAATGATAAAGGACAAGATCTTTATTGGAAGCAGGGAGGGGGAGGATGAGCTGGGGAAGCCCATGTGTGGGGATAGAGGGAGGGGTGCAGGAAGGATTGTGGGCATCTAGGTGCTCTGGCTTGAGGAGATCTCCTTCTGGATGACCTTGCCATCCTGCGTGACCTTGCAGGTGAAGGTGTGGCTGACAGCCACTGGTCAGCAGAGAGTGAGAGGTAACTGCTGGCTGAGTACTTGTGTCACTCTGGCGGAATGGCGGGGGTCTCCACACCCTGAGATACGGGGAGCCATCCTTGGTCCAGCCACCTCCACTGTTCTTGGGTAGAAGCCACTCAGCAGACACACGAGGGTGGCCCTATTGGTGGCTAGCTCTTCTTGGGTTGGAGGAAAGACATTGAATGGGGGCCTGTGGGCTGATCTAGGTGGAGTGATGAAAGAGGAGGAGAGATTAGTCAGAGAAGAGCAAAGAGGTCAGAGACTGAGGGAGAACCTTGGGCCCCAGACCTGTGTGTGCCATCCAGATTCTACCAGAGCCTTGGGTCTGGAATGTTCTGTTGGAAGGAGCTAGCCCTGGAACAGGAGATTAGAAGGCTCTTTTCTCCTACTGCTCTACCCACTGTACAGATGAGGAACCTGAATCCCCGAGAGTGGAAATGAATTTCCAAAAGTCCCACCCATAGTAAGAAGTAGAGCTAAGATTTGAACCCCTGTTCCCGATCCCCAGAAATGTGCTCATTTTTCATGTGACTTGGCTTGTTGTGTTGCCTTTGTCCTGAATTTCTGGGCACTATGCGTTCCCCTTTCTCCTCTATGGCCTTCCATTTCCTCACCTGCTGGTTAGGTGTGTTACCCTGATCGCTAAACTCACCTTCCCAGCCTGACCTTCGTTACTCTGAGAAGCCTGATTCTGCTCAGGCTTCCTCTTACACACTGTCCAAGTAGACCCTAGAGTGTCCTGCTGGACATGCCAGTGGATTGCCAGGACCCTCCCCCAATGCCCTGCTTCCCCACCCCCCAGCGTTATTCTCTTTCTGTCCTGGGGGATGGAGAGGTCTGCCTGTCTCTCCTGAGGAGTCCCTTTGGATTGAGCAATCAGGGCCCGAGTCCTGGGGAGTCAGGTTGTCTTTGGAGATTTATCCGTTGTGGAGACAGTCCCTGGGGGTCAACTGGTCTGCTCTGAAGAAGTGTGTGTGTGTGTGTGTGTGTGTGTGTGTGTGTGTGTGTGTGTGTGTGTATTTGTGTGTTGGGGCATCTATGCTGGGCATTTGGTGTGATGTGGAGTTAGCATGTCCTGGGCAGTGTCTGGCTCAGAGTTTCTATCTTTGTTATTCCCATCTTTTCCAGGGAGTGTGTCTTTGGCCAAGATCCCCCCATTTGTCCTGGTCTATGTTCTCCACCCCTGCTCTCCTGTGTGGCCAGATCCCTCGTCTTCTGGGATGACCCCTCCTTTTTTCCCCTGAAGGGTCCCGGGAAGGCCTAAGAGGTTGAGGTCACCCTTCTGACCAGCAAATCTCACTGCCCCCTCCCAGCTCCTCCTGAAGGAACTACCAATTCCCTAGAAGAAGCCCAGATTTGGCCATCATCCTGCAGGTCCACTGTTTCCTGCCTCAGTGGTCCCTTCAGCCCTGCCCAATCCTGAAATGTGAGGTGTCCATATTCCCTAAGGTTGTTCATTAAACCCAAAGAGGGGAGTGAGAGAGAGCTAGGCTGGGAAAGAGTCCAGGCTACTTCCATAGACCATGCAAGCCCCTGGTGTAGCACTCTGAGAAGAGTGCTCTCCAAAGAAGAGGATAGCAAGGGCAGAGGTCAGGCAGCTGGAGAGATGGTGAATGTGTAGCAGGAGCTGGCAAGGGGGACCCCAATTAGGAGCTCCCAGCAAGCAGAGGAAGTGAGGAGAGATTTTCCCAGAGCCCCAGCATCCCAGGAAGGGAGAGCAAAAAGCAGTGACTCACCAAGGACGGTCACCTTGGTCTGTCTGCCGAACACCCAACACTGTGACAGAGACCCGCAAGAAACCTCCCAGTGATTTGTCTCAGAGCCAACCCCCTTCCCTTCCTCTCTGTGCAGCTGTGAGAGAGGAACACTGGCCCCTCCACCTGGTGCACCACAGAGTAGAGGCCCTTCCTTCACCAGAGAGCTGGGCCAGGTGTCCTCAATTCCTATCCCAGTGAACATTTGGCCCACAGTGAAGAGTTGAGAGAAAATCCATCATCTGAGAAGACTTGAGTTCCTGCTGCAGGGTCTTATACAGGAATTCCATGAGCATTAGTAAGGAGCACCATGGAGAGCTGGGCTTTTAGGTCCTTTTCCCAGATCACCCCCTGCAGCCTGTCTCCTTAGGATCTCAAAGCACTGAATATATAGCACTGAATTCTTGCTGCCAGCTCTTGGGACCCATATTTCCTGAGGGCTGAGAAACCTGGTGTAGAGGGCTAGAGGCAGAGGAGACTAAAGTTCAGAGCCCCATGGGTTGTAAAGGCATCCCTTTTCCCCTCTTCTCCTTCCCTATCACAAACGATGTGGGGCCATATCCTCTGGGCCACTGGTGGGATTGACTCCCTGATCCAGATGCAGAGTTTTCTAGAATTCTTGGGAGAAGAGGGACTTGAATGGGGCCTTGTCCCTCCCTGCCCCTAAGATAGAGCAATCCCTGGCTCACCCTTTCCTTGAGTGTTGGTGTGGTCCTTACGTGGGAGGGTGTCAGGGCTGCTTAAGTGAGGCAGGGAAAGCCACTTACCAGTCCTGAAGGCTGGGTCTGAGACCAGCTTTTGTTTTGGAGGGCTTTCCTACCTCTAATGTGGGCATCCCCGACGGGAATAAAGAGTCAGTCAGAAGCTTGAGCCCCATGGCCCTCTTGTTTGTGAGCCATGGCCAGCAGCAAGGCCTCAGAATTCACCCAATCAATATAGCAATCACTCATGAACCATTTATTAAGTGCCTACCATGTGCTAGGCATCGTGCTAAGCACTCAGCAAATGCTTGTCAGGATGGAGCTCATCTTAACTGTCTGCAAAGCTCTTCCCTCCCAACAGCCCTGGCAGGTAGTGCACCTGAGGATTCTAATGCCTGCTGTGGAGATGAGGAGAGGGCAAGAGAAAAGCAGAGATAGTGGGCACCTAAGAGAAACAGAAGACATTGAGGAGACCTGGCCGATACAGAAGATACAGAAGAAGAAGGCAAGAAAGCTCTTAACATCGCTGATAACCGTGATGGTGTGTTCACTGCCTGGAGCTAGACATCCTGGAGCAGTCAGTGAAGTGGGCCTTGGGAAGCACTGCTCACCATGAGGCCAGTGGAGGTGATGGAATCCCAGCTGAGCTATTAAAAACCCTGAATGATGAGGCTGTTAAAGTGCTGCACTCACTAAGCCAACACATCTGGAAAACTCTACCCTGTAGACTGGGTTGGAAAGATGTGGTTACGTCTTAGTGGTAATGAGGGGCAGTGCCAAAGAATGTTCACATTACTGAATGATTGGGCTCATTTCACGGGCCAGCAAGGTCATGCTCAATATTCTGCCAAGCTGGACTTCAGCAATATGTCAACTGAGAATTACCAGAAGAGCAGGCTAGTTTTTGAAGAGTGGGAGAAGTAGAGGCTGAAGTGCCAAAATTTGTTGGATTGTGGAGAAAGTAAGAGTATTGGAGAAAAAACATTTATTTCTTAGTTGACTGAAGTGAAGTCTTTGACTGTGGATCACAATAATATGTGTCAAATCCTCAAAGAGATGAGAGTAGCACATCACCTGACTTGTCTCCCGGGGAACCTGCATGTTGGTGAGGAAGCAATTATAACTGAATGTGGAACAAGTGATTGGTTTAAGAGTGAAAAGGAGCATGACAAGGCTGCATGTTGTCAGCTTATTTATTCAAGTTCCTTGCACAGTATATCATGAGAAATGCCAGGCTGGAGGAGTCAAAATCTGGAATGAAGGTTGCCAGGAGAAATAACGATCTCAGATTTTCAGTTGATACCAGCCTGATGGCAGAAAGTGAAGCAGGATAAAGAAACTTCCTGATGAGAGTGAAAGAGGCAAGTGGAAAGGCTGGCTTAAAGCTGAACTTCAAAAAAAATATGGCCATGGCAACTGGTCCCATCACTTGCTGGTGGATCGAGGGAGCAGAATGGAAGCAGTGTCCGATTTTATGCTCTTGGAGGTCAGGGTCACTGTAGATGGGGTCTGCAAAATGAAATCCAAAGATGCTTGCTCCTTGGAAGAGAAGTTATGGCAAATCTAGACAGCAGACTAAAAAGCAGTGGTGCCATCTTGGGGTCAAAGGTTTGTGTGGCAAAAGGTATGGATTTTCCAGTTACAACGTGTGGCTCTAAGAACCAGACCACAAGGAAAGCTGAGCGCTGCAGAATTGTAGTTGTGAATTGCAGTGTTGCAGAAGAGTTTTGAGAGTCTCTTGGAAAGGAAGGAGATCAATCAGTCAATACATAAAGAAATAAATCCAGTGTATTCATTGGGAGGTGGATAACTGAACCTGAGGCTGAAATAATTTGGGCAGATAATGAGAAGACAGGATTTTTTGGATAAGTCCTTGATACAGGGCAAGATGGAAGGCAAAAGGAGAAGGGGATGACAGAGAATGAGATGGATAGATGGTGTTATGGGAGCAATGAAGAGGAGCTTGGACAAACTTGGGGAGAAAGTGGAAGACATAAGGCTCTGGTGGGTTATCGTCCACGGGGTCATGAAGATGTGGACACAAGTGACCAACAGCATAGAAGGTGAAATTGAACCTCAGGGAGGGCTCCCAGATCTCTCTGGCCCTCATTCCTTCTCTCAGCTTTAGACGTGCAGATTCTCAGTTCTGAAGAGCCCTCAGAGGTTTCTCATCCAGAGGATTCTTGGTGGAGAATTCTCACCACTGCCTTCCTGCCTGATGAAAGGTGCACTGAGCTCTGCAGGCTAATCTCCAAGGAAGGTTGTGCCACCATGGAGAGCTCCAGATGTTCACTAATTTCCCTCACAATGAGCCTCCATGCTCTGCTCTTCTAATGCTGGGCTGTGGAGCCCGGCAGAACCAGCCTCCTTCTTTCATCCTGTGATAGCCATTGAGATAGTTGAAGAAAGCTTTGGTGTCCCTTTCCCTGATCCTAGGTTTGTCCTCTTTAGCCAGTAGAGGCTGAGTTTCTTTAAGTGATTCTGTAAGGCCCCACCTCCCACTCCTCCACCAGCCAGGTCCCCCTTTTTTAAAATCAGCCTCTATTTTGCCAATGTCCTTCCCAAATTACGGTGTCCAGAAGTGGCCCTCATGGACTTGAGATGGCATGTGAACCAAACAGAGGACAGTGGGATCGACCCTTCTCATGCTCTGGACAGCATGCTCTGGGTGTGGCGTGCCCCCTGAATCCTCCTCACCCTGTTTTGTCTGTTTACTTCATCTGATACTCTAGACCGGCATCTTCTTTGGACAGTAACCAGGTCAATCCTTCCTGTTAGGTAGGCCCCAGGAAGAGCAAAGGACCCCAACTTCCATATCTATATTATGAATGGAGACCTCAGGCTAAGAGAGTAGTAGAGAGACACAGACACAAAAAGACATAGACAGGAACACAGAGAGACAGAAATAGAGACAGAGACACAGAGACAGAGAGAAAGATAGAGAGAGACAGAAACAGACAGAGGCAGAGACAGAAAGAGATACCCCATTAAGGAAGGGATTGGAGTAGGTGCCCTTAAAGGTACATTCCTCCCACCTCAAAATGTGTGGTCCTAGAGGACTTCTTCCTGGCCAACTCTGTGCCCAGTGCCTTGTTCCCCTAAAAGTCTACATGCCTGTCCCCTTAACACTAGTGAAGAGTGCATAGATTCTTTACAGAAGGGTCCCTAGGGCCATCCATACTTGAGCCTACCCAGAACTTACTCCTCGTACCTGGATAGAGGGCATGTCTTCTATGTCCTTGGATTAGTGACCCCAACTCATATCAAAGGATGAAAGCATCAGTGATGGACATAAAGAACAACAGAGACCACGTACTCCAACCATCTTCTTTCCCTTACAGATTAGGAAACTGAGGTTCGTGAAGCGAAGTGCCTTGCCGTGGGTCAGCTGGTTAGGACTGAGAGTGATAGAGTTGGAACTCATATCCTGTGAATCCCAAGTAGCCCAAATCCCATTGCATCACCCTTCATTGTCCTGGCTTCTAAGATTCCCACCTCCTCCAATGCGTAGGCATGTCTGCTCACTTCTGCTCCAATTGCCCTGAGGTCCCTCCCTATCCTCATCTGTTATTGTTGGTACGCCTGGGGGTCACTCTTGCAGTCATGAAAACATGAGTTTAAGCCCTGCCTCAGACACAGCCTCATTGTGACCATGGGCCAGTCAGGAATTGTTCAGTGTCCCAAGCAAGACTATGGTCGATGGAAGTGCTGACCTCCAACTGGAGGAGGTAGTGTCCACTTGGGGATTTCTTTCCCCTGAGCAAGGGAAAGATCTGGAACAACCCAAGTGTAATTATTGTTACCATAGGCTATAGCCCTAGAAGAGTCCTTGTACATCGTCTGGTCCAATTTGTCATCTTTGCAGTTGAGGAAGCTGAGGCACGTGCAGAGGCAAAGCCTAGGCCAAGGCAAGGTGGCCAGTTGGGTGCCAGGGCCAGCATGTGAACCCAAGTTTTCAGTCACTAAGTGCAGGAATCTGTGTTTTCAGAGTCCTGTTTCTTGGCTTCGTAATTCTGATGCTAATGCTAATGATAGCAGCTAAGATTTCTAGACTGCCTACTATGTGCCAGGCTCTGTGCTAAGCACTTTAGAAGCATTACCTTGTTAAATCCTCACAATAACTGCGAATGGGAGGTGCTATGATTTTACCTATTTGGTATGAGCAAAATGAGGCTGAGTGGTTAAGTGACTTAGCCAGGGTCAAACAGCTAGTAAGTGTCTGAGGCTGGAAGCCTTCCTGACTGCAGGTCCAGCTGTAGAGCTAGAACGGACCTGAGAAGGTACCTCGTCTAAATTGCTTTCATTACAGATGCGGGCACTGCTTCCAGGGGAGGCTGTGACTTGGCTAAAGTCTCCCAGGTGGTAAGGACAAGGGCTCAATGTGAACCCACATCCTCTTCCTATGGAGCCAGTGTTCCCTGCCCTGTGGCCGTCTGATGTGTCAGGAGGAGGGTGTTCTGGTTTGTCCTCTAGGGCTCTGGAGTTCTCAGGATGGGAGGGGGTTTGTCCATCCCAGTGGGTGAAGCTGAAGTGGAGTGGTCCTGGGCTGCACTCTGATCCCTCTGTCCTGTTCCCTAGATGTAGGGCTACTCCTTGGACCGTCCTTCCTCATCCCTTGTTTCCCTTCCCACCTTGGGTGACGGGCATGATGGGACCCACTGCAGACCTTGGACTCTCGGGTGATTGACTTTCATGTTCCATCCATCCAGGGGCTTGGCCTGTACTGCCTTTTTGTCATGGGGGCTATCGGGGGCCAAATCTTGTGAGCCACATTCAAAGAGAGGGGAGATCAGACACAGAAGACTGGAGCCGCAACTGAATGTGAAAGGACAAGATGTTTATTGAAAGCGAGGAGAGGGGAGGATGAGCTGGGGAAGCCCCTGTGTGGGGAGAGAGGGAGGGGGTGCAGGAGAGATGTGGGCCTCTAAGTGCACCGGCTCCGGGGAGAGCTCCTTCTGGATGACCTTGCCATCGTGGGTAACCTTGCAGGTGAAGGTGTCGGCTGACAGCCACTGGTCAGCAGAGAGTGAGAGGTAACTGCTGGCTGAGTACTTGCTGTCACTCTGGCGGGACGGCTGGGAGGTCTCCACACCCTGGGACACGGGGGAGCCATCCTTGGTCCATGCCACCTCCACTGTTCTTGGGTAGAAGCCACTCAGCAGACACACGAGGGTGGCCTTCTTGGTGGCTAGCTCTTCTTGGGATGGAGCAAAGGCATTAACGGTGGGGGCTACTGCGGGTTGACCTGGCAGTGTGGCAGAGAGGGGAAGAAGTCAGTCTTACACAGAGTGGAGGCACATTAACATTCCTACTTACAACCCCGTTCAATGCTCCTGTTCCTGCTGATAGTTTTTTCCATTTCTAATCGTTCCTGACCCCATGGAACCTGGGACTTCTGAGGTGTGCACCCTCTTCTCTCGCGTCTACACCCTCCCTCTCTTCTTCTCTTTACCCTGATTGCTTTCCAATGCTCTGTTGTCTGATGTTGGGGAGACTCTCTGGAGGAGACAATGAATCAAATAAAAGTTTTGGGGAGCACAGATGACACCATGATTCCAAGATCCCTCCCTTCCTCATGTACAGGTCTTTCTGACATGCTAAGATTCTTTTTTTACTCTCTCTGAGTCTTACCCTGGCCAGCCAGGGCTCCCGCTCTCCAGGCTCCCCTGGCTACCCCCTGGACAACCAGGATGCTTCATTTCGACCATTCCTCACACTTCATGAGGCTACTCTAGAAACCAGGCAACTCTTCTGCCTGACCATATTCTACCCTTTCCACTGCCTTTCCGTTATGTCTGAGCTCAAGAGAGCCTCAGTACATCTCTCCAAAGCATATTTCCCCACTCTCAGTTCCTGTACTTTTCTGGTAGTGTCTGTGGAGTCTGGTATGACTAGGGCCAGAGATGTAGAGCTACAAAGGGCCTGTGAGATCATTGAGTTGGACCACTTTATTTTATAGATGAGGGAACTACTGTCTGGAGAGATTAATTAACCTGCCCATATTCACTGAACCAAAGTATCAAAGGCAGATGCACAAATGGAGAGACATCGCCACTCCCCATGTTCGTATGGCGTATTTGTGCCAACCTGTGGTCGAGCCTTCCTAGTTCTTATTGGTCTGAGCAGACACGGTCAGACACACTGTACCTTGACCCCGACATAGTGATGCCACTTGTGTCCTCCTTCCAACCCCCCAATGAACCACAGGCAGAATTCCTAACTCAGTCTTCCTCATTCCAAGTCCAGAGCTGTAGTAACTCCCCTCCATTGCCTCTTTCTGCCTCTACCCCACTGTCGTTTTTGTCAAGTCTGACTTGGTCTCCATTGTCTGTCCCATCACCCTCTCCCATTCCCTTAGGAGGCCAAGACCAGAGGTCCCAGAGAGCTGCTGGTGAGGGAGCCAATGCTTTTGCTTCTGCTGCCCGTGGTCTGTCACTGCTCCTGCCCAAATCCCCCAGGTAGTCCTCACTTGGGCTTCCCACCCAGGCTGCCCAGCAGTCCAGGCTCCACCATCCACCCCTTGTGTGTCCTCTGGTTCCTCACTGGCACCCTGAAGTCCCCACATCTGAGGGAGCCCCAGTTCTCCTCATGGATTCCTAGTGTAAAGGGACTGAGTTTAGAGAGGGGAAGGAATGCTATTTGTCTGATTCCTCTGCTGGGTTCTGTCCTGCCTTACCCCCCAATCTTCTCCCTTGTCTCCAATGTGGGGACAATGGTTTTCTTAGAGTGTGTCCTGGGGATTAAGTCCCTTCCTTGCTGGGTCATCGTCCCCTCCATGGGCTGCTGTAGGTGGGACCACATTGGTCCCCACCTCCAGCCTCCTGACCCTAGGGAGACCCTCAGTTAAGTGGGTGATACCCAGTGAGAAAGAGTGTTATTTCCCATCAAGACCCTGGATAGAAAGGAGGGACAGGGAGAACAAAGGCTACTTACCGATGACGGTCAGTTGGGTCCCACCGCCAAAAACAACCACTGTGATTGAGAGTCGTACCAAAACTCTTTCTGCCTGCAGGTGCCCTTTGGCCCCTAAGGTCTGCTTGTTCTGGAAACCTGTCAGGCATGACAGGAGGGCATGGCTGAGAGCTGTTGGTGAAGGGGTTGCAGGTGGGGTCCATCCCTGGAGGTAGGGGTAACTCCCAGTCACCTCTCCTGCCTCCAAGGCTGGGCTCCCCCAGGGCTGTGCTCAGGCTCATTGGAGAAAGTTTCTATTTGATGAGATCCTTCTTTTGAAGCTTTTCCTCCCTCCCCTCCAAGCAGGCTGATCTCATAGGTAACCCTCAAAAGCCTTCTGCTCAAGACATTTCTCTCACTCAGTGTATCTTCCTTATCTTTTCCCTGTTGATCCTTGTTGCACTGGTCCTTCAAGACCCAGATCAAATTCCTGAAGCCTTCCCAGGCCTGCTTAGCTCCCTTCTCTGGGAGGTGGCAAAGTGTTCTCTTTCAGATTTCTGGTTGTTAGGCGGCTAGCTAATCCTCTGTGGTGAAGATAATGCAGAGAGCCTCCCAACCAACTGGTCCCCTGTCTCCTTCCTTGACCTTTTCACAGCTGCTCTCATAGTCTTCAGAGATTCCCTGGAGTCCTGAAATCTCAGTCAGGGCTGACTGAGAGATTCCTCAAAGACCATCCAGCCCACCCCATTCCTGAATGAGAAGCACTTCTCCCAGCATTATCCCCAGCCAATGGTCCTCCAGTCTATGCTTGGAGACTGCCCAGTGAGGGGGAGCTCACTACCTCTCAAGGCAGCCCATTCAGCTTTAGGACAGTTCTCATGATTAGGAGCTGGCATCTTCCCCTTTGCAGCTTGGGTGATTCTGGTTCTGCTCTCTGGTACCAAGGAGAAAAAGACCAATCCCTCTCTCCCATGATGGTCCTTCAGATGTTTGATCCCAGCTCTGTGCCCCCTGAGAGTCTTTTTTTCTAGGCTAAGTATCCCCAGGTCCTCCAGGTGGTTCTCCAATGACATGGATTGGGGTCCTTCTCCTGGCTGGCTGCCCTGCTCTGGACGGTGTCCAGCTTAGCGATGTCCTTGTTGCACTGTAGTGCCCAGAATTGCACAGGGTCCTTCCTCTGGAGTCTGATGGGTTGAGAGAGTAGAATGTCTTCGTTCCTGCAAGCCCAAGATTGCATGAGCTTTCTTGGCTCTCACATCACACTGCTCACTGGTATCAAGCTTGGTTTCCTGCAACTCAGACTTCCCCCCCACTGAAATGCTGTCTTCTACCTGTTAACCTGCCCCTACCCCTCAAGGGTAAGGTTTTGTACTTTTGTCTACAAAATTCTTTCTCTTGGCCTTGGTTCAATGTTGCAGAGTTCTGACATCATTTGGGATCCTAGGTGTAGCATCTAGTGGTTTCCTTTCCCTCCCAGTGTTGTGCCTTGCTGAATCTCTTTGAGTGTCCCATGTTCATCGTTAGCCAAAGCAGGGACCCGTGAGGCACTGGACTGACATCTACTTTCCAAGTTGACATCAAACTGTTCTTAGGTATTCTAGGTATCTGGTCATCACCCAGTCTGAAATCCCCTCACTTCCATTGCTCTCTAGCCCAAATCCCTTCATCTTGGCCATAAGAATAGAGGGAGAGACTTTGTGAAATGTTTTCTAAGATGAATCAATCAGTGAACAAGCATGTATTATACATACTATGTGCCTGGCTCTTTGCTAAGCACTGGGGATGCAAAGAAAGAGGGAAATCAGTGCCTGTGCTGAAGGAGCTCCCATTCGAAGGTTGATGATGTCAAAATATTTTGGAGACACTCTGTTTCCCAGAGTTACAGCCCAGCAAGCAGGCTGTGCCCTGAGCTTGGCCTTACAATGGTCCTTTGCAGCTCTGGATGATCTCACCTTCGAGCTAATTGTATTCCTGTTGCTAGCACCAGGTGTTCACTGAAGGATTTCTGATTTTAGCTCCCCCCTATTTCCTGGGGACCTGAGAATCAACACCTATCATACCTTTCTCTGATCTGTTCATAATCCATGTTCCCTGCAGTTCTTTTCCTGTCAAAGAACTCTGATCCTGTACCCCGCAGAGTCATCATGACCCCCAAGGCTTGAGACAGTCCACGTAGGAGCTGTTCTTTCAGGATCAGGAATGGCAGGCATGCACTTGCCATGAGAGCAGCCACTGAAGACCTAGGCATGATTTTGTCATATTCTGTGCCCCCAGCCCAAGGATGTTTGGTTCCAAGAAAAACCTGAGTCAGGGAGTGGCATCTCTGATCGTATCCAGCAGCTATGTCATAGGAATCTGCGATTCCAGGAATCCAGATGGGATTTTGCCAACTCAGCTTCAATACCATGAGAGCTTGTGTTCAGGGAAGCTAGCCTGTTGGAAGTCAGGACGATGCTGGTTTGGTACTTTCATGTAGTAGGACTAAAGCCATGTAGGAACTGAACTAGACTTTGAACCCAATATCTCATCACCACCTCCCCCCACCAGGGCCTTGAGCAAATGTCTGTGTGTTTGTTTCTAGATATTGCTTCAAAGCAAATATCTCTTTGTAAAACAAATGTGAAGTGAAATGAAGTGGGGTGCTAATCACTAGGCCCCTGAAATGGGGGCTGACAGTCAGGGGCAGAGGAAAGTGACCCTGCAGTCTTCAGGGCAGAGCAGAATCCTGAGAGGGCCTGGCCCTGAGAGCAGGGTCAGAGTTCCCCATGTTCCCCCCTGCCCTGCCTCTTTAGTCATCCTGCCCCCCAAAGGCAGCGAGTTTCTCTGCCATGGTCTTTGGGCAAGCCACATTGTCTTTTTGTGATACAGCTTCCTTTCCTGGCTGGTTAGTGACCATACCCTTACAATTGGTTGTGATTTCCCCAGGAATCATAGTTTTTTGTCCTTTCTACTGTCCCATGAATTTGTTAATGTTCACAGAAGTAGCAGTTTGTTTTTCTTTCACTTTAATTTTGTACTTAACTCCTTGAGTTTTAATTTCAATTGTGATTAATGAAAATTTTGCTATTGAAGGTAAAAATTCCTGGGTCAGTGATTTGTTCTGAGCTTTGATTTCAGGAATAGTTGTACGAATTGTCACAAAGTCAACAATGGAAAATGGCATGTGTGACAGTCTGAACAGCAAAGGTGGGTTCTGAGTAGGGGAACATTGTGAGGACAGCTTAGGACACAGCCTAGATTGAATCCTCCTGACTTTATTTCCCCATTGTGTCATTTCCTTTCTGGAAAAGGAAAATTGCCACCTGGTTAATCCTGTGCCTTGCTTTAACACTCTGTAGCTATACGATTGGCTGTCAGATGTGACTCATGCCTGGAATCAAACAGAATTAAGGGAATTTCCCCCCTGATATATGGTTACTATGTTCCTCTTTTTCCTTTCATAGCAAATTTCTTTAATCAAGAAATGTTTTAGAATCATGTTTCCAATGAATGTTCCTCATTGGCCTTCAAGAGTCGTTGTGACCTTTTTGGCTGAAAGGAGGGAATGAAAAAGAAATTACAATATTCACATTAATCAGTATGATATCTATCTATCTATCTACCTACCTATCTATCTATCTATGTATCTATAGATATATAGATATAGATATAGATATAGATATGGATATAATGAATATAGCAATAATTTCATTTTCTCCAGAGCTGCCTCTCTGGCTAGAGGTTCAGAGCTCATAATGCAGGGTAAACTGATCACTCAAAGCTGTGCCAATGCTCACAATCCGCTTGAACTTCAGTGAAGCGAATCAAAGACTGTACAACCTGTTCCGTCACAGACCTCTGGTTCTGTACTTTAGGGGAGGTGGTCATGACCCCTAAAGACCCCCAAAAGTGTGTTGTGGGGTCGGGGGTTTCTGATTGTTTGTAATCCATCTTCCTGGTGAGTTTAGTATATAACATGTTTGTAAGTTAAGTATATAAGCTATACTTTTACTTCAGCTAAGGGAACATTCCTCACTCTGATACTGATTCTTTTAAGTTCTCGATTAGTGGCATTCCCACCTCTAGGCCAGCCTTGTGGGGCTCTGAGCATTCTCAGGTTAGGAAAAATCCTGTTCCCAAGTCCACAGTCAAGGTCACATCTTCATCTCCTGCATGTTACCAAGTAAGTGGCCATGCTTCCAATCAGCCAGGTCCACAGCCTAGGTCCCATCTTGGCCTCCTGCTCAGTGTCACTCTGCCCACCTGTTCAGCCCCCTCCAGATCTTGACCTCTGCCTTCACACCTTCCCTCACATAGGCTTGTTTTCTTCCACTCACACTTTCTTGCCCTGGGTCACTCCCTCAGCAGCCCAGGTCCGGCTCACGGCAGTCGCATTCTCATGGGTCTCCTCACCTCCAGTGTTGTCCCGCTGCAATCTGTCCTCCACGCAGCTCAGATTTCTGTACGTCATTAGGGTTTGCAAAGCCCTTTCCATTTGCTATATCATTTAATCTTCACAATAGCTCTGGGAGATAGGTGCTATTAGTAAAAATAAAAACAAATTATAATAAAAATAATCTTCATATAACAGTTTAAGTTTTGCAAAGTGCCTTACAGATATTATCTAATTGTTTACTGCCAACAACGCAGGAAGGCAGATGGGATCATTCTCCCCATTTTCCAGATAAGGAAAGTGAGGCTGAAGGAGGAATAGTGACCTGCTCACTTCAGGGGGCACAGATAGGAAGCCTCTGAGGCTGGATGTGAGCTCAGGTCGCCCTGACTGCAGGCATAGCGCTCCATCCACTGACCTCCTATGTTCCCATCCTGCTCCTCTTCCTCCATCCCAGAGAGCCATCCCTTTGACCAAAACCAGTTTCAGATACCCCTCATGTTTTAGAAGGGAGAGACAGGCTCTGGCAAGAAGCAAATATGTGGGCTGGAAGTGATCTTTCATCTCCCATCCAGCCAGGGGCTTAGCCTGTGGTGCCTTTTTGGCATGAAGGTTGTCAGGGACCCAATAGTGTGAGTTGCACTGAAGGGAGGGGAGATCAGACACAGAAGTCTGGAGAGGAAATTGAATGATAAAGTACAAGATCTTTATTGGAAGCGGGGAGGGGGAGGATGAGCTGGGGAATCCTATGTGTGGGGATAGAGGGAGGGGTGCAGGAAGGATTGTGGGCATCTAGGTGCTCTGGCTTGAGGAGATCTCCTTCTGGATGACCTTGCCATCCTGCGTGACCTTGCAGGTGAAGGTGCTGGCTGACAGCCACTGGTCAGCAGAGACTGAGAGGTAACTGCTGGCTGAGTACTTGTTGTCACTCTGGCGGAATGGCGGGGTGGTCTCCACACCCTGAGATACGGGGGAACCATCCTTGGTCCAGGCCACCTCCACTGTTCTTGGGTAGAAGCCACTCAGCAGACACACGAGGGTGGCCCTATTGGTGGCTAGCTCTTCTTGGGTTGGAGGAAAGACATTGATGATGGGGGCCACCGTGGGCTGATCTAGGTGGAGTGATGAAAGAGGAGGAGAGATTAGTCAGAGAAGAGCAAAGGGTCAGAGACTGAGGGAGAACCTTGGGGCCCCCAGACCTGTGTGTGCCATCCAGATTCTACCAGAGCCTTGGGTCTGGAATGTTCTTGGTGGAAGGAGCTAGCCCTGGAACAGGATTAGAAGGCTCTTTTCTCCTACTGCTCTACCCACTGTACAGATGAGGAACCTGAGTCCCTGAGAGTGGAAGTGAGTTTCCAAAAGTCCCACCCATAGTAAGAAGTAGAGCTAAGATTTGAACCACTGGTCCCGATCCCCAGAAATGCGTTCATTTTTTATGTGACTTGGCTTGTTGTGTTGCCTTTGTCCTGAATTTCTGGGCACTATGCGTTCCCCTTTCTCCTCTATGGCCTTCCATTTCTTCACCTGCTTGTTAGGTATGTTACCCTGATCTCTAAACTCACCTTCCCAGTCTGACCTTCGTTACTCTGAGAAGCCTGATTCTGCTCAGGCTTCCTCTTACACACTGTCCAAGTAGACCCTAGAGTGTCCTGCTGGACATGCCAGTGGATTGCCAGGACCCTCCCCCCAATGCCCTGCTTCCCCATCCCCCCCAGCGTTATTCTCCTTTCTGTCCTGGGGGATGGAGAGGTCTGCCTGTCTCTCCTGAGGAGTCCCTTTGGATTGAGCAATCAGGGCCCGAGTCCTGGGGAGTCAGGTTGTCTTTGGAGATTTATCCGTTGTGGAGACAGTCCCTGGGGGTCAACTGGTCTGCTCTGAGGAAGTGTGTATGTGTGTGTGTGTGTGTGTGTGTGTGTGTGTGTGTGTGTGTGTGTATGTGTGTGTTGGGGCATCTATGCTGGGCATTTGGTGTGATGTGGAGTTAGCATGTCCTGGGCAGTGTCTGGCTCAGAGTTTCTATCTTTGTTATTCCCATCTTTTCCAGGGAGTGTGTCTTTGGCCAAGATCCCCCCATTTGTCCTGGTCTATGTTTCCACCCCTGCTCTCCTGTGTGGCCAGATCCTCGTCTTCTGGGATGACCCCTCCTTTTTTCCCCTGAAGGGTCCCGGGAAGGTCTGAGAGGCCGAGGTCATCCTTCTGACCAGCAAACCTCTCTGCCCCCTGCCAACTCCTCCTGAAGGAACTACCAGTTCCCTAGAAGAAGCCCAGATTTGGCCATCATCCTGCAGGTCCACTGTTTCCTGCCTCAGTGGTCCCTTCAGCCCTGCCCAATCCTGAAATGTGAGGTGTCCATATTCCCTAAGGTTGTTCATTAAACCCAAAGAGGGGAGTGAGAGAGAGCTAGGCTGGGAAAGAGTCCAGGCTACTTCCATAGACCATGCAAGCCCCTGGTGTAGCACTCTGAGAAGAGTGCTCTCCCAAAGAAGAGGATAGCAAGGGCAGAGGTCAGGCAGCTGGAGAGATGGTGAATGTGTAGCAGGAGCTGGCAAGGGGACCCCAATTAGGAGCTCCCAGCAAGCAGAGGAAGTGAGGAGAGATTTTCCCAGAGCCCCCAGCATCCCAGGAAGGGAGAGCAAAAAGCAGTGACTCACCAAGCACGGTCAGCTCGGTCCCTCCGCCGAACGCCCAACACTGTGGCACAGACCTGCACAAAAACCTCCCAGTGATTTGCCTCAGAGCCCACCCCCCTTTCCTCTCTGTGCAGCTGTGAGAGAGGAACACTGGCCCCTCCACCAGGTGCACCACAGAGTAGAGGCCCTTTTTCACTTCACCAGAGAGCTGGGCCAGGTGTCCTCCAATTCCTATCCCAGTGAACATTTGGCCCACAGTGAAGAGTTGAGAGAAAATCCATCATCTGAGAAGACTTGAGTTCCTGCTGCAGGGTCTTATACAGGAATTCCATGAGGCATTAGTAAGGAGCACCTCATGGAGAGCTGGGCTTTTAGGTCCTTTTCCCAGATCAGCCCCTGCAGCCTGTCTCCTTAGGATCTCAAAGCACTGAACATATAGCACTGAATTCTTGCTGCCAGCTCTTGGGACCCATACCTCCTGAGGGCTGAGAAACCTGGTGTAGAGGGCTAGAGGCAGAGGAGACTAAAGTTCAGAGCCCCATGGGTTGTAAAGGCATCCCTTTTCCCCTCTTCTCCCTTCCCCTATCACAAACGATGTGGGGCCATATCCTCTGGGCCACTGGTGGGATTGACTCCCTGATCCAGATGCAGAGTTTTCTGGAATTCTTGGAAGAAGAGGGACTTGAATGGGGCCTTGTCCCTCCCTGCCCCTAAGATAGAGCAATCCCTGGCTCCACCCTTTCCTTGAGTGTTGGTGTGGTCCTTACGTGGGAGGGTGTCAGGGCTGCTTAAGTGAGGCAGGGAAAGCCATTTACCAGTCCTGAAGGCTGGGTCTGAGACCAGCTTTTGTTTTGGAGGGCTTTCCTACCTCTAATGTGGGCATCCCTGACGGGAATAAAGAGTCAGTCAGAAGCTTGAGCCCCATGGCCCTCTTGTTTGTGAGCCATGGCCAGCAGCAAGGCCTCAGAATTCACCCAATCAATAGCAATCACTCATGAAACCATTTATTAAGTGCCTACCATGTGCTAGGCATCGTGCTAAGCACTCAGCAAATGCTTGTCAGGATGGAGCTCATCTTAACTGTCTGCAAAGCTCTTCCCTCCCAACAGCCCTGGCAGGTAGTGCACCTGAGGATTCTAATGCCTGCTGTGGAGATGAGGAGAGGGCAAGAGAAAAGCAGAGATAGTGGGCACCTAAGAGAAACAGAAGACATTGAGGAGACCTGGCCGATACAGAAGATACAGAAGAAGAAGGCAAGAAAGCTCTTAACATCGCTGATAACCGTGATGGTGTGTTCACTGCCTGGAGCTAGACATCCTGGAGCAGTCAGTGAAGTGGGCCTTGGGAAGCACTGCTCACCATGAGGCCAGTGGAGGTGATGGAATCCCAGCTGAGCTATTAAAAACCCTGAATGATGAGGCTGTTAAAGTGCTGCTCACTAAGCCAACACATCTGGAAACTCTACCCTGTAGACTGGGTTGGAAAGACGCCTTTATGTCTTAGTGGTAATGAGGGGCAGTGCCAAAGAATGTTCACATTACTGAATGATTGGGCTCATTTCACGGGCCAGCAAGGTCATGCTCAAGATCCTGCCAAGCTGGACTTCAGCAATATGTGAACCAAGAATTATCAGAAGAGCAGGCTAGTTTTTGAAGAGTGGGAGAACTAGAGGCTGAATTGTAAAATTTGTTGGATTGTGGAGAAAGTAAGAGTATTGGAGAAAAACATTTATACATAAAAACTGCACCATAAGCAAAGCCGAATGCTGCAGAATTGTAGTTGTGAATGCTAGTGTTGCAGAAGATTTTGAGAGTCATTTGGATAGAAAGCAGATAAAATCAATGAATACTGATAAGAAATGGATTCGGTCTATCCTTTGGAAGGTGAATTACTGAAACTGAAGCTCAAGTAATTTGGGCAGATAATGAGAAGACAGGATTCATTGGAAAAGTCCCTGATATTGGGTAAGATCAAAGGCAACAGGAGAAGGGGATGACAGAGGATGACATGGATAGATGGTATTATGGAAGCTTGGACAGACTTGGGGAGAAAGTGGAAGACAGAAGGCTCTGGCAGGTTATGGTCCATGGGGTCATGAAGATGTGGATACAACTGAACAATAGCATAGAAGGTGAAATTGAACCTCAGGGAGGGCTCCCAGATCTCTCTGGCCCTCATTCCTTCTCTGAGCTCTATACTTTCAGATTCTCAATTCTGAAGAGCCCTCAGAGGCTTCTCATCCAGAGGATTCTTGGAGGAGAATTCTCACCACTGCATTCCTGCCTGATGAAAGGTGCTCTGAGCTCTGCAGGCTGATCTCCAGGGAAGGCTGTGCCACCATGGAGAGCTCCAGATGTTCACTAATCTCCCTCACAATGAGCCTCCATCTGTTTCTTTGCTCTGCTCTTCTAATGCTGGACTGTGGAGCCCGGCAGAACCAGCCTCCTTCTTTCATCTTGTGATAGCCATTTAGATACTGGAAGAAAACTTTGGTGTCCCTTTCCCTGATCCTAGGTTTGTCCTCTTTAGCCAGTAGAGGCTGAGTTTCTTTAAGTGATTCTGTAAGGCCCCATCTCCCATGCTTACACCAGCCAGGTCTCCCTTCCTTGGACAATCTTTTTTCTCTTTTTAAAATCAGCATCTATTTTGCCAATGTCCTTCCCAAATTATGGTGTCCAGAAGTGGCCCTCATGGACTTGAGATGGCATGTGAACCGAACAGAGGACAATGAGATTGCCCCTTTTCATGCTCTGGACACTATGATCTGAGTGCAGCCTGGCCCCTGAATTGTCCTCACTCTGTTTTGTCTGTTTACTTCATCTGATACTCTACACAGGTGTCTTCTTTGGACAGTAACTAGGCCATATCCATAATCCTTCATATTTAGGTAGGGCCCAGGAGGAGCAAAGGAACCCAACCTATATACCTATGTTATGAATGGAGGCCTCAGGCTAAGAAAGTGGGAGAGAGACAGAGACAGAGAAAGACATAGACAGAGACAGAGAGAGACAGAGTTAGAGACAGAGACACAGTGACAGAGAGAAAGATAGAGAGAGACAGAGACAGACAGAGGGAGAAACAGAAAGAGATACCTCATTAAGGAAGGGAGTGGAGTAGGTGCTCTTTTACCTAGGAAACTTGATGGTCATGACAGGAGGACATGGCTGAGAGCTGGCTGTGATGGGATTACAGGTGGATCCCAGGGGCAGCTCCACATCAACTCTACTGCCTCCAAGACTGGTCTCATCCCAGAGTTGTGCTCAGGGCTATTGGAGACAGTGCCTACTGAATGAGATCCTTTTTTTTTAAACTTTTTAAAAACTTTTAAAAAAATTTATTCATTTTAGTTTTCAACATTCACTTCCACAAGATTTTGAGTTCCAAATTTTCTCCCCATCTCACCCCCCACCCCAAGGTGGCATGCATTCTGAATACCCCTTTCCCTAGTCTGCCCTCTTTCTGTCTCTCTCTCCCTTCTCTTATCCCTTCTCCTTCTATTTTCCAGGAAAGATTTCTGTACCCCATTTCCTGTATTTCTTATTTCCAGTTGCATGTGAAACATTTTTTTTAAACATGTGTTTTTAAAACTTTGGTTCCAAATTTTCTCCCTTCCTCCCTCCCCACCACCCTCATTGAAAAGGCAAGCAACTCAATTAGGTTATACATGTGCAGTTATGCAAAACACTTCCATAGTAGACATGTTGTGAAAAACTAACTCTATTTCCCTTAATCCTATTCCCCCCATTTATTCTATTCTTTCTTTTGACCCTGTCCTCTCAGAAGTATTTGCTTCTGATTACCCCTTTCCCAATCTGCCCTCTCTCTATCATCCCTGCTCTCTGTCCCCTTCCTCCCCCATTTTCCTGTAGGGTAAGACAGATTTCCATACCCAATTGAGTGTGTATGTTATTCCCTCCTTAAGCCAAATTCTATGAGAATAAGATTCACTCATTTCCTCTCTCCTTCCCCTGTTTCCCCTCCACTGTAAGCCTTTTCTTTTTTCTTTTTTTTGTGAGATAATTTACCCCATTCTACCTCTCCCTTTCTCTTCTCCAGTATAATCCTCTCTCACCCTTAATTTTATTCTCCAGATATCACCCCTTCATCTTCAACTCACCCTGTGCCTCTATCTTCTATCTATCTATCTATCTATCTATCTATCTATCTATCTATCTATCTATCTATCTACATACATACATAATTTTTTCCTCCACTACCCTAATACTGACAAAGGTCTCATGAGTTATAAATATCATCTTTCCATGCAGGAATGTAAACAGTTCAACCTTAATAAGTCTCTTATGATTTCTCTTTCCTGTTTACCTCTTCATGTTCCACTTGAGTCTTGTATTTGAAAGTCAAATTTTCTTTTCAGCTTTGGGTCTTTTCATCAAGAATGCTTGAAAGTCCTCTATTTCAATGAATGACCATTTTTTCCCCTGAAGGATTATACTCAGTTTTGCTGGGTAGGTGATTCTTGGTTGTAATCCTATCTCCTTTGCCCTCCAGAATATTATATTCCATGCCTGTGGTCCTTAATGTAGAAGCTGCTAAATCTTGTGTTATCCTGATTGTGTTTCCACAATACTTGAATTGTTTTTTCCTGGCTGCTTGTAATATTTTCTCCTTGACCTGGGAACTATGGAACTTGGCTACAATATTCCTAGGAGTTTTTCTTTGGGGATCTCTTTCAGGAGGAGATTGTGGATTCTTTCAATTTCTATTTTGCCCTCTGGTTCTAAATATCAGGGCAGTTTTCCTTGATAATTTCTTGAAAGATGATGTCTAGGCTCTTTTTTTGATCATGGCTTTCAGATAGTCCAATAATTTTTAAATTCTCTCTCCTGGATCTATTTTCCAGGTCAGTTGTTTTTCCAATGAGATATTTCACATTGTTTTAATTTTTCATTCTTTTGGATTTGTTTTACAGTGTCTTGATTTCTCATAAAGTCACTAGCTTCCAATTGCTCTATTCTAATTTTTAAGGAAGTATTTTCTTCAGTAAGCTTTTGGACTTCCTTTTCCATTTGGCCAATTTTGCTTTTTAGGGCATTTTTCCTCATTGGCTTTTTGGACCT